GCTGGCCTTACAGGTGTGCGCTGCCATTCAGGCCCTTTAATTCTCCAGTTCACTTCTCCAAAGGGAATCACGTATCAGTCACCATTACCTGTTCTTGTTTATCGTTCTTAACACTGACTCTCACCTCCTTCCTCTCTCCTTCTGTGTCTTTGTGTACATCTCCCTGTCCAACAAGGTAATGAGCTGGGGTGCTGCTCAGTGGTAGATCTCATGCTTAGCATATAGAGGCCTGGGTTCCTTCCCCAGCCGTGTCTGTCTGTCTATAACACATGCAAGCTGTATGTGTGTTCTTGTCTTATTGTTTCACTTTTTACGGAACCGTGCCCCTTACAGATCTTGCCGTGTATCAGCACATATAAATGTGGGTTTTGAGTTCCCCTGTCATGTTAGTTCCCCTTGTGAACGTACACAGTGCTTTAACTGCTCCCCTCTGGTGAACAGCGAGCTTGTCCCCAGCCTTCTGCTGTCAAGTGCTGCGTGCCATGCATTGTCTGTGCCCATGTGCAGCGGGTGTGGAATCCCTTCCTGTAGGTGAATACATGTACCACAGGGCACATGTTTACGACGGGCTAGACAGTTGCCAGCTGCCCTCTGTCAAGGCTCTGTTTTTCCCATCTCTTTGTCCCCAGTGCCAGCTCAATGATGAAGCCTCTCTTCCCTGCCAGAGTTCTGAACTGGTTGGGAAAAAAAAACAAAGGAGTTGGCTGGTGGCAGCACTGTTCCCAATAGCCCAGAGGTGGAAACCACCCACATGTCCTCTACAGATGAATGAAAGAAAGATAAACTGTGGTCTCTCCATAGTATGCAGTAGGATTGAGCAACTGAGGGGACTAAAGATCTGATGCTGTCACAGTGTGGGTGAACCTTGAAAATAGGCTCGTAGCCCAGACCCAAAGGACTATACTGTGTGAGTCCAGCCGTGCAGTGTCCAGGAGACCCAGACCCCCAGAGACGGAAGCAGGGGCTTGGGAGAGGAGGCTGGGTCGCCCTGCGGGAAGCATCCTGTGACGGATGTGGTGGGTGCACAAATGGACGGAGCCTGAGGCCTGTAACCTGGCCCAGTCCTTCTACCTGCTTCCTTTTGGAGAGTATTTCAACTGGGATCAGCAGTCAGAAAAGAAGGCTTTATTGCTGCAGTTGCTTCCTGCCTGCCCTGCTATGGACTGTTTTCCCTCTGCCGTGCCCTGTGCCTTGGAGCCAGCTAACTATGGCATGAAACCTCTGCAAATAAACCTTTCTTCCCTTAACTTGTCAGTGTCAAGTATTTTGCACAGCAATGAAAAAGTAACTTAAGTCAAGGGATGTAGCTCAGTGGCACTGCGCCTGCCTGGCAAGTACAAGTACCACGTACCTGAGTTTGATCCCCGGTATCAGACAACAACAACAAAATAACTGAGTCACCCTCCTAGTGTGTTTAGTGGGCAGGGAGGCTTGAGGAAACCCCGTGAAAGGGTCCCACAAAGCCCACACCGAAATGTCTCCTCTCAAAAAGGGAAGCAAAGTCTTTGTAACTAGAGCGAGGTGGAGGGGTGGAGGGGAGGGCAAGGGAATGGGGAAAAAATAACCAAGATACAGCATGTAAAGGTACAACATCCCAATAACGAATATCATCGTATTATATACCTAAAGTGTACCAATAAACTTAATGAAAAAAATTCTCCTCTTCTTCCCTCAAGATAGACACTGCATGGTAGCCACCTGAAGGCCTAGCAGCACAGTAGGGAAAAGACAGAGACTCAGACCCAGCCTTTCCTACAGGTGTCAGGGCTGTGTACGCACTATCATGGCAATGCAGTCGCTCCTTCTGACCGCGGCTCTTGCTTTGGGTCCTGCTTCTTTGTAGGATGCCACCTGTTGGCCATGGGGATATTACAGAAACTGGGGTGACGTTTCCAAGTCCTGGAATCCTGAGTAAATTCTTGCTGGAGTTTAACTGTATTTGACATGGACATGGAGGAAAAGAGAAGAATTCCGTACAGGTGGAGGAGGGAGGTGGGAACTCCAGTTTGGTTTCTGGCCCGTGGGGTTGAGTTTCTCTTCTCCCCCACTGCACCTAGTCAGACTGAGAAGTGGCCATTGCAGGCCTGGCCCCTTTTCTGTCTGCCAAGCACTCGGGCTGCTTGGAACCCTAGCTGCAGTGTGAGGGATCGGTGTCAACAACAGGAACAGGGCTCCAACTGGGGTTAGGGTTTCTTCTGAAGGAGATAAAGGACCAGATTGATTTGGTTCTTTCTTTTTCCTCTGCCCTCTCCTCTCCCCTCCTCCCCTCCCTTTGGCTCCCTTTTTTTATGCTTGAAACATTTGCCTAGGCTGGGCTCAAACTTGGAATCCTCTTGCCTCAGCCTCTCAAAGTGCTGAGATTGTAAGTGTGGGCCACCACATCTGGCTCTGGTTTTGTTTTCTTTTGCTTCCGAGAACTGCCTACCTCCCTGGGCATCCGGTTGCTGGTGGACCTTGCACAGGAGAAAAGGGAGGCCTTGCTTTGTTCTCAGTGGGAGCTGATGGCCTCTGGTGCTCTCTGTCCGGCTGAGGAGGCCACAAGTGTGTGCAGGAAGCCGGCCGAATGGCAGCGTGGCAAGCTTGAGCGGAGGGGCCTCTCCGGTCAGGAGGGCTTGTCAGAGAGCACACCTTCATGAATACCTGAGGTCTGAGCAGCGAAGTGGTTGTTCACACCTCTTTATATTTTGCTTTAGGTTTGCCAGGCTGTGTGCACGTGCCTGTGCAAGTCTTCATGTGTTGCACACACTCCCAAGAGGCCCTGGCTGTGGTTGGTGCGACTTTACCCTGGCAGTGGTGGTGCCACGTGCAGGGGGCTCTGACCCCGCAGTTGCGCTGTGAGGAGAGGGGGGGGGCCGGCCTGTCTTGAGGTGGCCAGGTGCATGTGGCAGAGG